AAACAGCGGTAGAATCAGTAGCACCTAGAAAGCATGCCCATATGAGCTATTAACTAAATCTGAATCGCCCACTCGCTCTTAAGTCTAAAATCAGTGATAATTTTAAACACTCGCAGAGCTTACAACCAACAATTCTTTTGCAATCAGTTTATTCCTCCGTTCCTGAATTAATAGATATCATGACTATAGGTCCCGTTTAACACACAGGCAAATAGTTAAGTAATTAACCAACTGTCAATTTTCGACAACTACATCTAAGCAGGACTAATTTGGACTCCCTATCTGGGAAATATGTGGTAAATCAACTTTTCCTGCGTTAATTTAGTTAAAGACCTAACCAGTATTTGTCAGTCGTGCTAAATAAGTTGCTTTTTTTTATGAGGAGGCCTATTTGAGCCCTTAATTGCTACCAGTTCCCCTTTAATTGTTTACGTGTTTTGATTGTCGCCCTAGCTTTTTTAACCTTTTAAACTCTGAAAAGCCTAACTCCCTCCCCTTTTAGGATTAGTAGTCTCAAATGCCTCCGGGACTGATAGGTGGGACGGGTAATAGCATGCAGTAGGTGACGATACCATTCTGCGCTTAATACCTTAACGGGGTAGGAAGGGTAGACATGGAGATGATGATCACACGATAACACCATGCGTACGATTGGCTACCAGTGTTGTGTGGATGATCCATGTGTTTTACAAACCTAAGACCCCTTTCCTTTATGTAACTTTGTTATTATAAAATTCTGTCTTTGTTTCAGCCACCCAAAACTCTTTTTTTAATTTACTGCACTATTCTTGTCTTCTAAATTTTCATTTCATTTATTTAAATTCTGTACTTGGACGTTTTCTTAAACAAAGTGTGAGACCACTTAGATCCTAATTTCCATATGCTTGTCACGTACCTATTTGCAACCTTTGTGTATAGAATTATTTGTCTGCATTTCAAGTCACAACATAGCATGGCTGGGAACCACACTAGTGGATCTTGAGGGGTGTCTAACACCTTCCCCTCGAGATAATTTCTAGCCCTTACCCGAACTCTGATTTTCCAATTCAAAACCCTTAGTGTCCTAATGCACTTAATCATTAGGTTGCGACTCTTCAAATCCAAAAACCCAATTCCCAAACGGGGATAGAGTTGTCTTCCCAAATGTCGTAAACCCGATTTCGCGAGGAAAAGGGGGCGTCGACATGTGGTGACTAGGGAGCCTCCCACTGCATTAGGATTGGATTCAGAGCTGTTAGTGCTTCTGGTGGGAAGAACGGGAGATCTGGCCCTAGGTTTTGTGGTAGTATTGGGACTGGGTTGAAAGGAGGGGGTAGGTTCCACTGACCTCTCATTTCCTGTACTAGGTTCTAGTTCAGAGCTGGAGCTAGAGGTTGTAGAATGTTGTTTACCCATACATGATTCAAATAGTTATTTATGGCAAGATGAAGACCTTCGGATACTAGTTGGGCAAGGTAGCGAGGATTTTGGATCAAGATTACACTCTCCTGTCCATTGATTGTTGCATTGAACATGAGACCCCTCCCTATTAGCCCTAACTCTATCCAGGGTAGGGGGTGGTGGTCCTGGGACAGTGGTGGTTGGACGTAGACAATGGGATTGTTTGGGAGTTGCTGAGGAAGAGGAAGAAGGTTTGCCATGTTCAAGGGAGAATGGTTGCGAGGGATTTGAATCAACCGGTATCTCCTTCGGTTGGTTAATGGGAGCCTTGGCATTCTTGAAGGTGTTTGGAGTGTTTAAATTTGTAGGAGTTGAGAAGTAGGGAATGATTGCATCTACATGCATGCAATTTGCGGGATTTTGCGTGTAGGATATATTAGAAGATTTTGAGGATTTTGGATGGGGAAATTTGGTCACATGTCCCATGCATGCTTCCATTTGTCCAATCCCCAGACTACTAGTGGCCAAGTGTGGTTTTTGCTGATTATTGGTTTTGTTTGTTGTAAGGGAGTTCTGTGGGTTAGGGGTATTGTCCAACTTAGAAGGGTAGTCTAGTGTAGTAGTTTCACACGAGGTGGGTAAACTAATAATTTCGGCTAAGCTACCTCCATTCAATTGGTTAGGCGTTTGAATAATAGGATCATTAGGGTTAATAAGGTTATTAACTAATTTTGTCTTTTCTAAATCTTCTATACAAGCATGTAAGTTGATATTATTAGAGTTTTTTAATAAAAAATTATATTGAGGGTAGTGGTTTTCTGAAACAGTGTGCTCCTTACACAGAGTGGAGAAGCGGTTTTTTTTATTCAAGTTACCCTGTTTGTATCCCATGTCTGTATTGGTGGATTTTGCCAGACGAGGATTATACTGTGTAGGAGACAAGGAACAATTATCCTTATGAACAAATTTTAGCTTTTGAGTTTGAATGAACTTACCTGTTGCAGCATTAAAGATTTTAACGTCTATACCTGTATCTGCCGAGTTATCTTTGTCATCTTTTGTGATCTTTTTCTGCATCTTTTTTGTCTTTTGGAAGGTCACTGTGTGCCAGCCTTCTTCATTCCTTGCTTTCCCTAAAATTGTTTCATCAGAATCATCTTTATTACCTTTTACTTGGACTGCTGGGATTGCAGCCATTGGACATAGGTACGTTGAGTGCCCTAACAGTCCACAACTCTTACATAGTATTTTCTCCCCTTCATATTCAATTAATTGTTTATAGTTTTCAATATTAATAGACTTTGCAACTGGTTTGTCCATAGGCAATTTCACACATAGACGAGCAGATCGACCTCTTAGGGTAGCAGAGGTACAGGCATCTATTTTAAGAAGCCTACCAATCGAATTTCCAATTTTTTGGAGTATGATCCCATCGTAAAACTCCGTAGGTAGGTTTGGTAGGTGGATCCAAACAGCTGTATGAATTTGTTTGGCAGTGGATGCTAGAAGTTTGGTTCCCATCTTTGGCATGATAGAAAATGTCCAAAGATAAATCATGGACCATTTTGTAGAACTGTGATCATGCTTTCCTGCTTTTGAAACTTAGCAATAAAGTAATCTGATCCTAAATCTATTAAAGGAAAATTTTCAGACACCTTCCAAAGCTCCTGGACTTTCTTCTTGAGAATTTGATGGGTATTCTTTTTCCTTGTAGCTTAATAATAATGGAGTGCTTCCGGGGCATGTACATCCGTTTTTTGTCTTCTTGTGAAAGGGAGATTATCTTTTCTTCCATGGTTAGTTCAAGGGATGTCATAGAGGAAGTATTGTCATCGGAGCTGACTGTTGGAATGGTCAAGTCGGTGATGATATCCAATCCTTCACCTCCCCTAATTAATTTATCTTTAAATGAGGTTTGAAGATTACTAGGCATTTGGGCAGTGCAATCGTTTAGAATGTCCGGTGGGTTTGGTGGAAAATGCCCTATTATAGTTGAATGTTATAAAACAAAAGAATTCACTTTTCATTAGAAGTTCTTTAGCGGATTATTAAGATGTAAATATAATATAAAGTATTGTTGGCAAAAATGCTTTAGTTGATTATCTATAGATGAGCAGAACTTTTTTTATATATATATATTTTAAATTTTTTGTGCCTTTTTTTGGCTAATTTTGCAAAGTATTAGTATTGCTTTAGTGTTACAACTATTATCTTTACTTTTGCACATATCCATGGTTGAAAAACATGCAACTCTCCATTTGAAGAACGGCTTAGCCTTGCTTGAGAATGATGAAAAAGAATTTCTGTCAGTTAGTTGAATCAAACATGCACAAATTTGCGTGTTCATGGAAACTTCTTTGGCTTCTTACAATAATAAAATGTTAATCAAACTTTTTAAATATTGAATTAGCAACAAAAAATTAATTTTCTACTCAAAGATGTTAAATTCAATTACATTTGCTTATGAATTTGTGTGTCTTACATGAAATATTGATAATTGTGCACTATCTGGTAGTTTGTAGTAATTTAAAATAATCCAAAAATTCACTCAGTTTGAGTAGCTATTGATTATTTGATTAGTTTTCGATTTGCCTGTAATTTCCTTTCAAGTTTCAACCATGTAATGTTCATTCCCTGTTAGGAGGGTTGTTTCTACTACCGTGTGGTTCATTCAAATGATAAAGAAAGGAAACGTCTTTTACCGTTTAGATTATACATATCAGAAATAATATGGCCCAATTTTATGTGTAAAGATTTGTCTTTAGGAATGAAATTTTGAGAAATATAAAATACGAAAAGAGGTAGGTGTTGTCCTAAAACTACATTTCTATCCATACGATCGCAGTGTATAGAGAGAAAGCGATTGTGCTGAAATAAATATATAACATTCATTGTTTAGAAATGTCTATACTTATTTGAGTTTAATATTTTATTAAAATAAATTTTATAACCGCGCGAAGCACGGACAAATTTACTAGTTGAGTAAGTAATATTTTAGCTTCATTTTCTATTCTTTTAGCTTTTCATTTGGGATAGAGCTCGCCAATTAAGAGTAAAGGATAGGAATGTAGAAGAAGAGAACTAATAGAAGGAAGGTCTATTATTATCTTTAAAGAGTTGGTATATTCCAAATTAAAGCCAAAATATTACTCCGGGCCTCAGCGGATACACTTCATAAATTCATTGTCCAGACCCAACATCGTCAACCTTACTCAGTATATACTGCCTAATACATGTGAAGTGCCATTGATATTAAGAATTCGTCGGAAAAATCTCATCGAAGTTGATAAAAGAATTGCTGTGATCACTGCCCTGCATCTGGAAACATTAGGAGCTGACAAGAAATAACTCCACTGCAAAATGTCGATATCCTAGTTTTTGAGAGCTGGGAAAGCAGGTCGCCACATAATTTTCCCATAAAGAATAACATGGGATGGGATGACTCGAATTCAATGAGTTTTACGCAACGGTTGGGATGTAGAAATACCAAGAGACAAACTAATTATATAAAATTGGAGAATGGCTTTTTTGCTTTATCTGTCATCATAAAAATAGTATAATAACATCAGGAATCGTCTAAAATATAGCAAAATAAATTTATTTTTTAAGAACTTTAAAGTAGGTCCCACCGGGAGTCGAACCCAGGTCGCTGCATTCAAAGTCCAGAGTGCTAACCACTACACCATGGAACCACTAATCTGACATGCAACGTACAATGTTCTTAGTTGATGTTAACGTACCAGTAATTAAGAGAGAGCACTAATTCGAAAAACTATTCGGGTACGCACTGCGCGTATACGTATTCTATGGAGTACTTTTGATTGCTTTATGCTTATTAATTGCAAACAACTTAAAGTGAAAATTACTTTTAGAGTTTTTGAAAATATAAAAGAAGATCTGAATGTGTGATATAGTAATTATGTTAAACCATATATAGGAGCGAATCTGCGGATGAAGTGCATATAAAACTTTCAAATAAATTACTACAAACTTCAATAAGATAGTAGTAAATCGATAATACTTTGGTACTTGTCTAGCCAGAGAACGTATTATATCATGTATCATACAGTATTGCCTGACAAATGGCCACTTGGCCTTAGAGAAGATATGCTATCCGATTGCGCTTCTCTTTCCCGTAAATAGATAGGGTAATTTATTACTTGGAGGGTTTTAGCTCTATCTCTACGTCCAAGATATTCCCACTTAACCTTTATAAAATTTCATGTTCGACCGGCTCATAGCTAATTAAGAACTTGATATTAGTCCTCAACCTCAACAATGAAAAAAAGTACCCTTTGACTCAAATGTTGTTTAACACTTTTTAAGCAAATCAATCGAATAGATGAAGAGGTAAATCCTAGTTAAAGATAATTAACTCTAGATCCGAGATGAATAATATGAGTAGAAAAACATAGCCGAGTATAAATATCGGGCGTGATTATAGCCAGATTTAATAACATAAAGAAAGATGCATTGAATAACATTAAATGGCAATAAAATGTAGATAAAGGAAAAGATTCACCCGATCTTGAGTTAGTCGGATCTTTTCTTTCATTTGATAAAGATGAATGATAGACAAAATACAAGAACCATTGGACCCTTTTTGGATCTGATGAAGGTTTTGGATCACAGATCCTCCTCTCTCTTTTGAGAGATGTGTTTACATATTTTTTAGAAAGAGGGAGAGGGAGACCGAGAGAGAGCCCCCTTTTTTGGGAAGTCCTCTCTTCCTATTTATAAGGGGGGTATCCATAGAAAATCCTAAAAAAGGTACAATTTAGAGGGAATATTCGGTAGAATATTCCTTTTAAGTATTCCAAAGCAAACTAGTTGTTTGATGACGGTCCGACCTTGGCTTGTCCGACCTCGCCTATTGATGACGGTCCGACCTTGGCCTGTCCGACCTCGGCTATTGATGACGGTCCGACCTTGGCTATTGATGACGGTCCGACCTTGGATATTGATGACAGTCCGACCTTGGCTGTTGATGACGGTCTGACCTTGGACTGTCTGACCACGACCTTATGTCTCCGCGTGCCGAATTTCTCTGATCTAATTTTGACCCATACACCCCTCAACCTCAAGTTGCCCCTCCTAAAATGACACTCAACTAATTATCATAAACGTGAACAAAATAATGAGTGATTAATTTTTTGAAAAGTAAACAGAAATAAAAGGGGAAGCAAATTGACCCTGTGAAATGGCTTTGTCATGATTCCGTCTGAAATTTCTCTAGTTCAATCATTGGCTGCGAATTCTGACTTTTAAAGGCCCTTAATCATCAAGAAGGCCAATTACAATCAGCTAAGTTAATAGATGTACGTATTCATCTAACATTAGAGAAAATTTGATTTAGTTACCAGTGGTAAAGCTGTGATTTTTATTTTTTGAAGTCAGCGGGTAAATTTGGAGAACTGAAGAAAAAAGTTCTNGGCGAGTAGGCCGAATGTGAATTCGAACGAGGTCGAGTGTTGATTCGACGAGGCCGAATGTTGTTTCGGTCGAGGCCGAAGGTTGATTCGGTCGAGGCCGAATGTTATTTTGGTCGAGGCTGAATTCTTCTTTTTGGCGATGGCCCTTGGCCGTTGGGGTCGACCTCCTCTTTTTGGCGATGGCCCTTGGCCATAAGGGTCGACCCCCACTTTTTTAGCGACGGCCCATGGCCGCAAGGTCGATTCGGACGAGGCCGAATGTTGATTCGGATGAGGCCGAAGGTTGATTCGGTCGAGGCCGAATGTAGATTCGGATGAGGCCGAAGGTTGATTCGGTCGAAGCCGAATGTTGATTCCGACGAGGCCGAATGTCATTCCGGTCGAGGCCGAATTTTTCTTGTTGGCGAAGTCCCTTGGCCTTTGGGGTCGACCTCCTCTCTTTGGCGATGGCCCTTGGCCATAAGGGTCGACCCCCTCTTTGTTAGCGATGGCCCTTGGCCACAAGGTTGATTCGGACGAGGCCGAATGTTGATTCGGACGAGGCCGAAGGTTGATTCAGTCGAGGCCGAATGTTATTTCGGTCGAGGCCGAATTTTTCTTTTTGGCGAAGGCCCTCGGCCTTTGGGGTCGACCTCCNTAAGTTAATAGATGTACGTATTCATCTAACATTAGAGAAAATTTGATTTAGTTACCAGTGGTAAAGCTGTGATTTTTATTTTTTGAAGTCAGCGGGAAATTTGGAGAACTGAAGAAAAAGTTACTGTAATATAGCTATAACAGCAGAGTTTTTCACTTCTAATAGTATCAACTATAGTATACAACTATACATATACACGTATTCCTAAAGTACTCCTTTTAACAGAATTTACAATCCTACTGACAAAACTTTATTGCAAAAATTTTGGTAAAGAAAAGAAGAGAGTGAAGGTCGTGGGTGGGTCGGGGGGGGGGGGGGGCTGGACCTCATCAAATATCCTTGCTCTTGGCAGAGTTCAAGTTTTCAGCTGGCGCTTTGACCTTTCTATTTCGTAAGTGCATCTTGACATAGAAGTTGAGGAACAAGAAAAGAATGGCAGCGTTGAGCACAGAGTTGAAAACCCATGCCCCAATCCCATTACACCCACCACGTTTCATGAAATGAAGCAACAGCACCCCAACATGACATACAATGTTACATCCCAGCAACACAATCTGACAGCCTGCGACGAATGGGAAGCACGCGCTCGGCAATCCAATCGCCGTCCAAAATCTGTATCCATATACTATAGAATATGATAACGTCGTTAATAGGATCGCTAGCACTTGAAAAGACTGCGAGAATTCTAGCCAAAGGAAGGACATAAATATGAGAATGGAGTTGTTAAATAGTTGAAAAACAGAGAGTTTTCTACGTTGGAATATGGTAAAGAAAGTACGAAGAGTATGGAGAAAGCGAGAAAGGTAAAAGATGTAGGACCAAAAGAAGACGCGACCAGAAGGGCGCGTGCCAAGAGGAAAACAAAGGAGCCACTGAAATGGGGTGGTCTTATAACGGCGCCAGAACCACCGGGTGTCGCGGATATCAGCGGCAGCGGAGAGGACGATTCCGGTGAAGATGGTGAGGGAGATTAGGACCATGGAGAGGGAGTGGAAGGCGGGAATTGGGCCGAGAGGAAGAGGACGGCGGTGGCGGAAGAGAAGGAGAAGGAGGAGGTGGAGAAAGAGGGAGAAGAAAATATAAGCTGCGATGGAGGTGAAGAGGAAAGACCACGTGTTGCCCCATGATTGGCTGTGAGACCAACGAAAATTTACAATGGAAGGGCGCTCGGAGAGGTAATATATAAGGTTCTCAATCATCGTAAATGCAATAATCAACTTAAAAGTACTACGTAATCAGAAGGCAGAAAGTTGAGAAAATGTTTTGCCCAGGAGATTGCGTAAATCCACTGCAAACGTTGTACTTAATACTTTTTCTGGGGCTTTTTGAGTGAAAGGTTTGGTGGAAAATGCCGGTATGGTTCTGAAACTTGTGCTCTTATATAAATCAGAAGAAGCAAGTTTTTTTCGATACAGTTAAAAATAGTTTTTTTTTCCTCATTATGATAATGTAGTTTTGGATATGCCATTTTGTTATTCATATAAACGTAGTCAATAACCCTAAGTTACTAAGAAATGTTTACCTGACGCGTATGTCGCTCGATGCTAATTGATAATGACAGTCCTTGCATCCTTGTACTAAACTATTATTATTACAATTTAAAAATAAAAAAATAAAAGCATTCACTTCGAATGATATGGTTGTCCGGATCGGAGTCCACTTAATTTTTCTTCCAAGTAGTTAATAATGGATTAATTAGACTGAAATTTTGTATTAATGATATTGCTAATTCTTCAACTCTTGGCTATTAAATAGTACCCTTGATGACTGAAATCCTACATAGTCCATCCAACTTATGTAGTTTATTTAGTTTGTGTACTATACATGGCAGATCCGGGATTTTCAAATGGTGGGTGTTCAACTATATTTAATACTATAAAAATTGTACTGAGACTGGGAGCTCAGTTAATGTGTTTATGTGAATTATAGTTTTTATATATAAGTAATAGTGTTTGTCGGTGCTCAAGCAACAAGTACCCATAACCCACATAGTGTATACATACAGAATCATTAAAAACCCAAAAAAATAAAAAAACTTTTGTTCTAAGAGTTTGACTTATATACTCCTATAACGATTGTGTAAGGAAATAGCATTTGTATTCTGCACAGACTGCATATATAGCCCGTATGTTGACCCAAGTCCCTTCCTAATCCATACCAAGTTTGTACTTGAAATTTACCCATGAGCTATGCACGAAACAATATAGCCTTGTCAAGGTTACTATTAATGTTGACGTAGTTGTTGCTTAGCCATGAAGAGAGAAGAATCTATTAAGCTGTGGGCCAGTGGCTATGACCCGTTAGAATTTGGGTCGTGCTCGTTCTTTGATAATCATGACAAGTGAACAACTATTTTACGCATTATCATTATCGTGTAAAGTTCTAATTCGTGCAATGCACAGATAAACTGCACTAATTCGGAGAATTAATTAATTAAATAAATATGATATGGCATCTCATAATAGTAACACGTGTTTCATGTTGCAAGGGAACTATTAGTATGTAAAATGTCAACTTTCTATTGCTGAAAAGTAAAGGGAAACTCGATTAACTTTTAGCATTTTAACATGTGTTTTTTATCTTTAATCGTGGGGAATAATAAAAACAAGAAATCAAAAATGTAAGCCTCACCTACGCTTAATAATTATATAATGTGCTGAAACTCAATCAAAGAGAATTTACAATGTGAAACTCACTTACATTAATCTTCCACTAGCCACCGCTTGACAGTGTTCGTGTAATGACCTGAAAGTAATAGAATATTTTTTTAAATGACTAATCTCATTTTACCGCAAACACTGATCAAAACCTTAACAGCTCATTAAGCGTATTCAAGGTCTGTTTAATATATTTTCCAACCACGAAGATTTGAACAGATAATTAACAGACTGAGCATTCCTTTATATATAAGTACAAAAACAAGGAGCCCCTTCCTGAAAGAGGTCAAGTGTAATTAAGTGAATTATTACCGCTTATTAAAGACAACTACCTATGAATCTGTATACGGTAAAAACCGAGCCTACCCGATTCTACTAATTGATCGAGATCAGGGAGTTGCATCAAAGGTCGACCCCGCAGTGGATCAAACCGAAGCACGAGGACAAGGTACCGAGTTCGAGAATCGAGGTGCCTGTCGAGATCGAGACCAAATAGGGCAGACTTCGAGCAAAGCGCAATAACAGAAAAGCGAGATATCCGTGACTGGTCAAAGATCATGGCGGAAATCTCGAAACATATCAAATCAAGGGCGGTTATTTAGGCTAATCATGAGATTTACTTCCGTAATTAGAATTGTACCATAGATATGATTCATCTTCTATAGAAAGTAGGTTCTAATCATTTTGTAAGTGTCACACCTCCTTTTTACCCGTAGGGGGATATAAGGGAGTTTTTCCAATTTAAGTGACATTAATCGAAATGGGATTATTTATTTATTCAGAGTCGCCACTTGGGATGTTTATTATGGTGCCAAGTCACCGATTTATATTAAAAATTCCAAATCGAGGAAATTTGACATCATTTAAAAGTCTGCGAAATCAGAAAACTAGGTAAGAAATTCTGTTAACCCGGGAGAAGGTGTTAGGCATTCCCGGGTTCAGTGGTTCTAGTACGGTCGCTTAACTATTAATAATCGGCCTAATTATCTGATCAATTACATGTTTTATACCTATTGTGTATTTTTAACTTTTTAAATCGCTTTTAATTATTTTAAACCAATTTAAGATTTATGGAATTATTTCTTGAACAAGTTACGATTGTCGTACACTTGTCGTTTTAGGAACATATTGCAAACCACACTACATGGAATGCACCCGCGATTTGCGACATGTTTATTTTATTATTATTCGAAGTTGTTATGACTGGGTCACATGAAATGCACACCCGAATTGGGGAATACGTATCATGACCAAGCCACGAGAACCGTACCCGTAATCACGATAATTTTATTAATCGCGCCTTAAGCAAATTACGGTGTTTAACCAATTGTTTCCTAAATTAATTTTGGATTGCGTGAAGGTATCAAGTTATAGAAATGGGATTGTTAGAACATAATCCTGCCGGGTCGTTGTTCTTTCATTTTTCATAAACTGAATAACACCTTTCAAGAAATAGGTTAGTTCCCAACTTGAGAAACCAAGACTAAAATATTGCACAAGGCCTTGACAAACATCAGTAATGGAGAAAATGTTAAAGGATTAAACATATTTATCCAATTAAGAGACTAATAGTAATTTAATAACACCAAAGATGTACTTTAAGGTCACGAATCATTGCAATGATTCATAAAACTCACAGAAGCTGGTTCATACATATGAACATATCATCAGGTATCATACTACTCTTTCAAGTCTCGCCACAGAGTTATGTAACACAACTGCTCAATCCTAATTATAAAAGGCCGGTAACCAACCAGAAGGGAGCATACTTCAGGAAAATTATGGAGAAAACACTAGCATACATGAACTAAAAGCTTAGATCACGCACTTAAGCACATATGACAGTACTTGATTTTCGAGTCCCAAACTACTCTGGTAATTACATAGAAAAGCACAAGATCAAGCACATAAGAGCACCAGCAGCCATAAATCAGTTGGAGTAAAATTCTGTCAAGAGGTACCCAGACTTCCCTCTTCTAGTCAAACACAGCTCTATCAGATATTAACAAATTCATTTGCACCAACTTAAGGATAGTAAACATCATTGCATGGACAGTGGAGCCATAGCACATAATTATTTACACATGCAAGTTTAGATAAATAAGATTGAAGAGTATTCAACCTTCTTCCTAACCAATCAATTTTAACAGTATCAAGCAGTGAAAATACCTAAAATAGCAAAATAAACACCTAATCACTGAACAAGTCAAACATGAGCATATTTAAATCTAATGAGCAATTTATCTTAACATAATTACATAAGTGGAGACTGAACAACAGAAACAATCTTCATCCCAGATTTCAACATTTTTTGATCATTCAAAATTCAAGTAATTACATGGTTTCGTATTTACCTGCTAGGCGAAGGAAATGGCTAGATTGAGCCAAGTCAAGGCTAGGAAAAACAGAAGATCGGAGCTCGACAACAGTAGAATCAACAACACGTAGCTTCAAATTCCGTTTTCGAAATAAACTCGAAAACCCAGAAATTAAGGAGATAATGCCGCGGAAATCAGCAGAGCCTTCGAAATTCGCTATTCTCCGATTTTTCTTCCTCTTTTATTTTTTTTGAAATCTCTTTTGTCATTTTCAACTTTCCAAACTTTTGGAACTTCAAATTTTCTTCTTGCTTTTTGTTTGTCGCTGAATGCTTTTGTGTGTGTGCGCGCTCTGTTCTATTGACCGATAGAAGAGGAGGAAGGGAGGTCGCTGTTTTTGCTTGGGAGGGGATTTTCTGGTTGTAAATAGGGAAGGTTTTTTTTGTTCTTCAGAGAATTGGGGATGGGGGTTACTCCGTTGCTAGGTTAGGGAATAGGGGTCTGATGTTCTTACGGGTTGTTTGGTAGCTGGTTAGAAGAAAGGTTATTGATGTATAAGGGGTAACATAACTTATACCATATTTGGTAGGCAATCGTTATTTTGTATAAAATTCTGCATAACTAATACCATGTTTGGTTGACATTTTTCAATTATGCATAAATAATACATGTATAAGTTATGAGTCAATCTGTGTATTATTTTATGCAGGGTAGAAGATGAAATAACTAATACATGTATTAGTAATACATGGATAAACTACTGAAATGACAAATTTACCCCTATCACTTTACACATAAGGCTTCCTTATTTCTCTGCCAACCCGTCAACAAGTTTCACTTGCTTTCACTTGCCATCTATATACCTTGTCTTCTCTCATTTTTAAAGAACAAACTAGCAAAAGCAAACTGGAGAAGCCACTAGAAAATGGAAATACCAAAACTAAGAAGTGAAAATCAAATATGTCTAAACTTCACATAGTTCAGTAGTATGACGAAGAAGTGAAAGTAACACCCAGAGTTCCTAACTAAATTGTTTCCTACATAAATGGAAAGAGAGAAAAAACAATGCAAAAGAAGGAGAGGGGTATAGTTGTAAACAAGCATTTTACTTTAAAAATTATATAATGTATATCAATTTCTAATACAACAAACCAAACATCCAAAAAAATAATCTCTGCATAACTAATACCTGCATAACTAATCCCTGCATTACTTATCCCTGCATAACTAATCCCTGCATAACTAATACATGTATAACTAATACCTGCATAACTCTAACCGGCAACCAAACGACCCCTTAATGTGAGGGATTAGGTTATAAAGATGGGAAAGGGGTAATGGGTCAATGGTCTGGGCCAGGTAGGGGAGCATGGATTAGGCAAGAAAGAGGGAAATTGAGCCATTTAATTTGAGCCCAATCTGGTTTGAATTTCAAAAAGCAGCCTTTTCCTTTTCTTTGTTTTTCTCTCTTTTTCTTTTGGTTTTAAAAATCTAAATGAATTAATTAAACAAGCTAAATAAAATCCTAAATTAAGCTCTAACTTAAATTATTT